ATAATGGAGGACTTTTTTGTGGTATGAATTTCAGATACGCTGTTTATTCTCTTTGTGATTTTTCTGGTGTTTTATGTTTTTTATAACTTGATAGAGCTTTATCTCTTTATTTCATAATCATTTTTAGGTTTGAAGTTAACCATGGCTTTGTTATACGAGCCTCGCGAAGACGGGCGTGCTTATTAAAAATTTCAACAATAGTTCGCGTTACAAATTTGACCTTATCATTTATATCGGGGCTATAGAGAATTTTGTGCCACCGAAAATTGTGCAAGTCAATATTGAGCTTCTCAATATTCATATTTTCTAGTTCTCTATAAGTAACTATACCAGGTTTAGAACATTGAAAATACGTTTCACCAAATTCAAGATGATGATCAGATGTGTGGTCTACATTCAATGTTCCAATTTCACTACATTTTTTCAGGAAGATGAATTTAATTATGTCAATATCCTTCTACTTTCCATATCAAGACACCTCTACAATACCCCATCTATGCAGTGTTTTAAAAGATCAGAATGCTCCAATTCATCTCTTAACCAAGTGCACAACACTAGGTGATAAGTAATTAGTAGATTAACCCATTGAGTACAAGGAACCATCCAATCTCCTTATGAAAGAGTTGCTGTACTTTCTTGAGAATTCAATGCTCTTTCTAGGTGTAAGTATAATAGATCGCAAGATCTGAATACAGCACTCTAGACAAGTAGAATAGGATAAAATTGCAAACCTTCTTCAAAGAAATTGCATCATGTAGTTTTTAGTAACTAATAAAGCAGCTCTAAGTTAGACTATACTTATAAATATTACCTTTTGCATGTAAAGTCCCAAAATTAAAAATTTTATTTTAATGCAATTAAAAGTATTAAAAACAGAAACTAAACTGCATTGCACGCACTTTGCAAAGGAATTTAATTGCGCACATCACATCATGCTTATTAAAATGCGGGATGTGGACTTCCGTGTTTATTTGGTGTGCAAATTCGCTGATGATCTATGTTTTGATAGTATTCTAGGTGAAGAGCGTCGTAAAAAGAACATTCAATTGCTTAGGAAAAGGGTGTCAAAAAGAAAGACTATTTTTAACTGTAATATTTCTTACTACATAAGTTTCTAATTAATAACAAACAATTTGAATATAAATCATTATTATTTGGAGAAAAATTCTAGTTCCAGTAAGTGCTGGATTTTATTTTCAGAAATATCAAGTATTTCTCATTGTTCATTGGTAGGATCTCTACTTGAAAGTAATTCAATATTCAGCATAGATTTTTGCCAGTTTCATGGATATCATATTAGTTTAACGCAATAACTATAGCCTATATAGACTATACCATATATACTATATAGGTGTCCTGGGCTAAATATTTTTCTTCAAAATTAGAAATGGTATTATCAAGTGTATTTGTTAGAAAAGGAAGGAAAATAGGACTACGTATCAAACCTTGTAATGTTGGTAAACAGCAAAAGATTTTTGGGAAATATCTATCATTTCGGATATCGCAGTTTTTGCTTAACAAATGGACTTTTTGACAAAAAATGGTAAAAAATATAATGAGGTATGTTATGAATGTTACGGGCATTCAGTTCCTACATAAATGATAACACTCGGATGCCACATAGTAACGAATGTACCCCCTATAGCTATAGAGCCTAGATGTATTCTTGATGAATTTCGTTTTTGTGCAACAACCCAAAGCTGTTTTCTTGTCCCAGCAAGGGTATAATCACTTGCACTTTCTTGAATTTTGCGTTTTCTCCCAGGACATCAACTTTGGACAGTATATAAAATTAATTCCATCGGCATCACAATAAATTTTTCTAGGCAACTGGCTTTTTCACGTTCTTATTCTCAGTCCTTTTATTCGCAGTTATGCTCAAATCACAGCGCTTTCGTCGCCCAGTCGGTCATAAGAGAATAAATGTATTTCGCAGCGTTAAGCCTCCCCCTAAGGGCTGATAAAAGTGCATCAAAAAGCGTATTTGTCGGAAAGTATGAGCGCTCATTCCATTTTACAATTCCCGACAAAGCGCCATGAATAAAAGATTAAATTGCGAAGACAATGGGGAGAAAATAAAAATACGTCGGCAATAATGAAAACAAGGCCGGCAGGCGACGGACGCACCCGATAGCGGGGTGAATTTTATAGAGCGACGGGGTTCCATTTAAAAGGAAAGTCCCTGGACTGTTCGACAACGATGTTCTATCTCACGTTTATAGTCCACTTCTTTGGAGTGTTAAATGGTAGAACTTTGTAGTATTTTATAGATAAGATAAAATGTAGTTTAAATATGGCACCAAGATTCAGCGACAACAGTCCATGTAAATATGCACCGCCAAAGGAAAAATGTCTAGGTGATTACTCATTACCCAATCATTATTCAAAAAAAAATATTTTTTTGGTTCTAACACACAAAAACTAGTTCCTAGTTACCTCCATAAAGTACTTACCACATATGAGCTCTTAATATTAACGGGAAGATTATCTTCATTACAGTTTTGCCCTTATAGATCATTAAGTCAATTTTACTAATAATTTTTATAGGAAATTAAACGCTCTGCAATGGTTTTTTACAATTTTTGTATAAATCGAACTATTTCAAAGAAATTCGCGGTCAAAGATTGAAGAATTTAAAGAAAAAACTTTTTGTGTGAATTTTGTTATTGAAAAATAATTATTGTGAAATGTTTTCAATTATTTTTATAGGAAATTTAAACTCCTACAAAAAAAGGTCTATTGTGGTTTGTCGATTACTCAAACTATTTTGAAGATATTTTTATTTTAATCCCAACGAGGACTTATATTCATAGTTTTTCAATATTTTCAAAGTATTCATTGAATTAGTAAATTTTGAAATTATTCATTTTGTATTAAGTTCTTTATTCAAGAAATATAAATAAATGCATTAATATTATTATTAAAGAAAAATATACATTTTTTAGATTAAGTTAAACAAATTGTCCTCGACGTTTTTTGACAACGTGCAGTTCTTCGTTTTTCGTCAAATACTGATTATATCCAGAGACCAACGGTACTCCACGCTCTGCTGCGTCATTTACAACTTTCGTTTGTGTAAGATACTCTTCATTTTCCTTATAACTCTTATCTAAAGCCTACAACATCAAGCAAATCATATGGTCGGTCGAATATTTTGAACAAATTCAATGATTTTTGAGAAACATGTCATTGAAATCCTTTTGAATAATAGAATTGATGTTCTTTTGTTCGATCTCAAATTGTTTTACCCTAGAATTTATACCACCTCGAGTTTGTGCTTCTTCGAATACGTTTTTTTATATCGAGTGGAACAGTATCACCAAACAGTGAAAAAACGGCGAGTTCATCATTTAAATACCGCAAATGTGAAGTTACCTTGTCGTAAATTGCTGAAGAGATAAAAGCATCGTTTTTTTTTGTAATCAATCAGTTTTTTTAAATCAAATCAAAAGTAAAAATATATAAGTGACCATTTTTATAGAGCCTTTAATTTCATGTAGAAATTATCAATAAAATTGGCTTCATGATTTATTGGTGATCCAAAATAATAATAATAATCGTTTTTTTTTACTCACACTAATATCCCTATTGAGTTAGGTTAATATATACTGTTCTATACACGAATCAAGCATATAATCCTGAACTAAGCGCCAAATTCCAAAAAAACGTATTTTTAACATGATACGAGTCGTTTTTTCGACCTTTTTACAAAAATATTACTTAATAATTTACTACTAATTATTTAATTTTATTTATTACTTCTGGGCTACGGACTTTCTGTGTTGCGCTTGACTTTGACGAAGGTCACGCATAGCTGTTTTAATAATTCCATGTGCCTTATTCGTTCTGGTAAGTTTGTAATTCATTTATATTTTGGCTATGTTCTTTTCAGTAGAGGTTCCCGAATTTTATGTCATAGATTGGAAGACATGTGCCCTTACCAATTTTTTTGGAATCTCTCTTGCTATAAGCACAATATCGCTGTAAATAAATAATGTAAAACAACCGTTCCCTACAAGTATTGTCCCGGTTTGCAGCTTACACTATCCAGCTACCATCATTAAGGTCAAATATATTCATAACAAAGAAACTGAGGTTTCGCTCATAGTTACATAAATTATTTCGATCTCTATGTAATGTAAAACTTATGTATTAGTTAACTTTCAACTTTAAATTCATGTACGGCTGATCTGATTTCCTTTTTTATTTTGATATAACTTTGATCAACATTTCCCCATTGCGCCCCAATGCTTGTACAAGGATTCCGTGCAGTGTACGTTCTATAGTATTTAATTAATTATTGCGGGGTGTGTTCAAAAAGTAAGGTGAGTTTTATAATTGGGCGGGCTACGTAAATTCTCTCTTCGATATGTTTTTTTTTATTATGTCGGTACATGCCCCTAAGATATATTCACAGTTTCAGCCAGTTTGCACGTTTACGTACGGTATACGGAATTGTGGGAAAACAATTAATGGTTTTTGCATCACGATAATGCACCTGCTCACTCAATGTTCGCTTTTTGGCCAAAAACAAAAGCACAATCATGCCTGAGCCACCGGATTTGGCCCCCTACAACATTTTATTGATTTAATTGTGTTTTAATAACCTTAATTCATAGTGCTAAATATATTAAATTAATAGTTTTTCCTACAATCTACAATATATTCCGTGGCGCTTTCGAGCACTTTCACAACTGTTTTCGAAAAATTTTTAACAGAACTTTTTCGAAAAATTACCGCGCTTTCTGTACGGAAAATTCCAATTTTAGGTTAGCTGCACTGAATGCAAGTCTCTTATCTACATAATTGGATACGTTTAGGTTAGGGATCATTGCTAAGATATAAATAATATATAATATAATAAATATAAAAAATACGTGAAGTCATCTCAGAAAGGTGATGCGCCAACTGTACTACTCCTATTTTGCCATCACATTGTCAAATTGGTTATCGTTAATTAATCATATAAATCTTAAAATTTGTGAAATCAAGGCACTTACCAACGATGGTAAGATAGACGGGGTGTCCTACGGGAGGCGTTGTACTAATTTGACACTCGTAGATGCCCGAGTCTTTCTTCTGAGGATATCGTATCCTTAGGGTCCACTCATCAGTATGGGGAGTGTGCAAAGCTTCGAATCTTTGGTCGGACGTGTAGGTATATCTCCCTACGGTCAAGAGGTGTATGTCCCGGTGCCTTACCCAAGAAACCTGCAACAACAAAGCACTTTGAATCATTTTAAAATATTCTTCAGCAAAATTGGTTTAATCCAAGCCAATTGGAAGTTTTATGCACCTCTGTAATTGTTAAATTTTCTTCATATTTCTTCAAGTTACCGAGTCAAAGTCACTCTTCTGCCAATTATTATAGTGGCAGTTATTTAGTTGATTTTAATTATTTTTCTGATCATAAAAAAAGTAAAGAGTAGATAGAGAATAAATAACAAGGAAAACATGATTTCAGGAAAAAGCAAGCAGTACTACCGATTTGCATAACTCTAAAATCCTACTTAGATAACCTTCTAAAAATTCGCAACGACCTATTTCTTCAAATTAATCAAAAAAAAAATCTCTAATAAAAATTTAGATTATATCATTGATGAACGTTTAAATTTAAAGAACACAGCATTTTACGTCTAAAGAAGACATTTTAAATGTTAAAATTATTATACTCTGATCGTCATTCAGTTTCAAAAAACTATTTTATGTGAAACATTTGATTTTTTGATATTTTAATTTTGCTGATACAATTTATGGGCCATTTTCGGATTCAGATTTAGATGCATAGGCTCCCATAGGCGTATATCAAGAAAGACTGTCAAAACCAAGCGGAGTACCATTCAAGGAAAGTTTCAAATAAATATACTCGATAATGTCCTCTTTTTGAATGATAAATATATAGAGCCTAAGATATTGGCGATTTCTTATCAAAACTGTAGAGTGCTGAGAACTAAACTTCCAACTTTAAGGAGAAATCTTTAAGTGTCTTCATATAAGATTATTATTTTGTCAGAGATTTGGTTGACGGGCGGTCACTTTGATTCGGAGTTGGTACTTCAGGCGAGGGGGATGTTTAATAGCAATGCAATGCATCGCTTAAATAACTCGGACCGGATCCAAACCTCTAAGGAGATTGAACAAATTTTTGATTCCATTGGACAACGAAGTTGACGACTGATCTTGGGATCCATTTACATTCCCCTATCGTTAGTGCTGAAAGTCTACGAGTTGAGTTTACAGATGTGCGATTTCAATGTGCCACAAATCGTATGAAATGATGACAGGCATTACTCAACGCCCTACCCGTTCATCAAGGTAACCCTGTCAATTGCTAGAGTGTTAAGCTTGTTGAAAGACTTTGATTCTTATCATAATCTTTTTCAACAAATATGATTTTTAAATCCAAAAAGCGTTGCTTGGATCTGATTTTTGCTTATGATCAGTGGTTGAGAGTGTCCTTTGCGAGTTAATTCCACCAAAGAGCCACCATCCTTCTTCTCATGATTGGGAGGGGTTACTGGGATCGATCTCTTGACGAAGTGATTACTTTATTTACTTACTTCTTACTTTACTTCTTTAAAGGATAATCGGTAGATTCTCTTGAATAAAATTGCACACAAAACATTTAAACATTCTAATTCTATTTACGATTATCGAGAATTCTCTAGACTTAGAAAGGCTTGCAAAGATCTGTCTTGCTCTACATAACGAAACGTTGTCTAGGTTACAGAGTCGATTCTTCCAGAAAATAATAAATAATTTTGGAAATTTATAAATGCACAGCGCAGGACTTTATGTTCCCCCAAACGTTTTGGATATAACAATACTGAACTTGAAATATACCAAACTGAGTTGACTCAATCCAAATAAGGAACCTGGAATATCTTCCCGATTTCTTAGATGCTGTGGGTTCGCCGGATTTTTGCAAAGCGTTTAAGAGTAGTGCTTGGTAAAATATGTGGGAAAGGTATAACAGGTATACTTCTGGAGTGGATCGAGTTGTATCTGGGGGACGCCGTCAGGTTGTTAGACTTGTCAAAGCATTTTTGAGCTACTTCGGGGGTCCTCAGCCACTTACGGCCGCTATTATTCTGCTATTTACCAATGACGTAGCTGCTTCTTTTCGTTTACAGGAGGATTTGAAGCGGTGGCGTGCTCTTCGAAAGCGAATTTACCTTTAACAACATAATTCCAAAGGCTTACAAAATGTTGGGCTTTCTAAAATGATCCTTTTAAGTTGGGTGGCGACTTGGCTAACATCAATTATGTATCACTTGAAAAATTATTAGATTTGAAAACACGTAAAGCTCGTCGTGATGAAGCTGATCTGATATTGCTGTTCAAACTCACAAATTCCAGTTGTTTTAATCCCTCCATTCCATCGAAAATTGGGTTTTTGGCACCAATACTAATAACTCGTCCAAATAGCACATTTTTTGTATCGTACCATGGGACCAACTAGGGCCTTAATACATTCATCGCCAGGGCCACCGAGGGGTAGGTTTAGGAATCACATCCAAGCAAGCATAACATAACAGCTTACATTTTTTATTTATTTTCTCTCCTTAACTTGTGAGATTGTAAGATAGGCTTTTACTTTTAGTTTTGGTTAGTTTGGTTGGGACCAACTAGGGACGTAATACATTAATCGCCGGGGCAGCCCAATGACCACCGGGGGATAGGTTTAGGAATCAGATTCCAGCAAGCATAACATAACATAGCTTACATTTTTTATTTATTTTTCTCTTCTTAACTTGTGAGATTGTAAGATAGGCTTTTACTTTTAGTTTTTATATTTGTAACAACTTGCATTTTTCCTAGGATTTTATGTAGAAATGGACTCTGTCCCCAAAGTTAATAATACTACTACTACTAATAATAATAATTATTATTATTATAATAAACTTAAGCAGCAGTTCATTGAAAAATACAGGAAAACTATTACTAAAGTGTTGAACACCAATCTAAACGACAAAAACGTCATCGCCGCAATCAATATTTGGTCGATACTTATTCTCACATATTCCTTTGGAAAAATGGTTCAATACTGACTGACAGATGTTAACAAAATTCAGATGATTACACCCCAACTCATCAACATCGCGGCTTTATATCCCTAAAAAAGAAGGTGGCAGGCGGCTTCTAAATATAAGCAAAATTTGAAGAAACCGGGTCTCTAAAATTAGTGCGAAATGATTAGGATCCACAGACCTTATCATCCAGTCTATAAGAAAAAACTTCACACCACTCAACCTAGGTATGCCAATAGTAACCGATACAACACAACACTACATCAGGAGATACAAACTTGGAAGCAGAAAGAACTTCATGGTAAATACCCTCTAATACCGGAAGATACGGGCTATCTTTATCCTGAAAATGAGGGTTTCATACTTGCGATACAAGACAAAGTAATTAGAACCAGAAATTATCAAAAACATATATTAAAAATTAACACATATCATATCATGGGTGGGTGTAGCGCACTAGCGGATAATGCTTATTTAGGAAGGCACAATCAACTTGCAAAAATCATACATCAGCAACTGGGCTTAAAATGGATACCTTTGTCGAAAGATGCCTCTGCAATTTGCAAATATGAACCATCGGTAAGCAGAGAAAAAGCAAATTTCAAATGGAGTCGAACCAGAACACACTATAAGAGTTTTATCATCAATTCTCGAAAATAGGTCGCATCTGCTATACAAGGATCGTCCGGTACTAACAGATACAACGGTCGCTCACAACAAACCAGATATTCTTCTCATTGAAAAACAGGGAAAAAGAGGGACAATCATTGATATTGCCATACCGTTGACCCACATTTTGAGATGTAGGAGGCTGAGAATTGAGTAACCATATGCCCATTGGTTATGTCAACATGAATAACATCTTTGATACATCACAAAAAGCTATAATACTCCAATGTTCGAAAATTTATGAGCTTAGGTGAACTAGGATAGGAAGAAGTTCCTCTCTACCAATGCCACATTATACCAATACCTGCAAAGCAGAGAAATCCGAAACCGATAACTATGATAATAATATATTTGTACATCATCAGCATACTGATGAGAATAACATTCTTGCTTCCAAAAGTTTCCTTCTATCTTTTCTCAATCTTTCAAATTTTTGGGTCTCTCCTGTGGAACCACTAATGTATTTTCTTTATGGATTGGTTAACCTCAAGAGAAGCTTCCTTTGGAAAATAGGTGGGTATTATGTATGCATGTATAATTTGTACTTCGGAATAATAAATAAATGAAATAGAATATATTAGAATCAAGGTAAACAGTTGGTAATAATTTTATCAATGAATTTAATATTATTTCTCTCGGTCTCCCTTTTTTCCACGTGTCGCACAAAAGCCCGCGGGTCAGGTTCACACCCGTGGGCGGCTACAAAAAATAAGCGAAAAAAAAAAAGATAAAATCGAACGGATTTCACGCGTTCCGCGGCGATATCCGAATCGCCGATTATTTTTCCAGAATCGAACCCTCTCTCCCGCATCGCGGTGCAGGACGACACCCCCCGGAATGATAGAAAACCGGTCGCTAACCGGATTTTCCGTTTCGTCCACCTGCAATTGGGCGGCAAACCGACCTTTTTACACACTCATGCATAATTTAGCAGTCTCGCTTGCATATTAACCGTCCGTATAATAGGGAAAGCGGCTTCCGCTTTTACTAAACATCCCTCGGGGGTCAGTGCGTGGGTGTCGAGGCATTTATACCGGCCAAGGGTCGGTATGCGCTTCAGAAAAATCTCCCGGGATCGATGATGAATTGCATTCGTTTTTCGCTGCGGATAACTTGGCCTCCGAAGTCACTAGTAGTAGGGAAGGGTGGGGCAAAGAGGCCCACTTCAAAAACTTACCAAAAATTTTCCCACCAAAAGTGGCTTAGAACCGACACTACTATACTACTGTCGTTATTATAAATATAAATTCTGGTTATTTGTACATTTTTGCATAATACCAGGGGTGAAATGGATCGCTTAAAAATTGTAAAAAAAGATATTCCATTTTATTCTGACCGAATCATAATCAACTTACTGCCACAGCTTTCGAAAATCTTATAAAAACCACTAACAATTTTTTTAATAGACTAAAAAATAGTTAATAATCAGTAAACGGTTTTTTTAATATAAATAGGGGAAAGTGGGACACGACGGCCAGAAGCTTAGCCAAAATTTGGGTAAATTTAATTAAT